TTTGAGGCGGCCTTGCACTATGATTCCCTTTGTGGCGCCTTTGACAAATATTCCCTTTGTGGTCTTACTTGATAGTAGCCCAAGGACCAACAGGAAAAAAACAACACTGTAATTAGTGAAGACGTTTAATTGTTTTCAGCGGTTGGCGCTAACGCAATACAATAACAAAGCATGTCCAATTTCCTGGGGGTGCGAACCATGTACAAGCACAGCGTGTTCACACGTCGTGTCTCCAGCGCATTGTGTTTTGTATGATTCTGGCACTCCGAAGCTAGCCAATGTTGTGTGTTTCATATGGCTGGGTATTCAAAGGCTACGAACCACTGCGTTGTTATATGTTTCTGGGCTCACAGGATTAGAGCTGGTTTGTTCTCATATGGCATGGGGTCTACCAGGTTGTAAAATGCGGTGTTGTTACATGGCTTTGGCTCCCAGGAGTTGGAACATGCGGTGCCACACAAATATATTTATATACATCTAAATATATGTGTATATATACAGACATCTGTCTATATATATATCTACGTATATATGCATATATATATGAACCGATATATACAGATGGATGTATATTTACACATAAATACCACCCCCGGCCCAGGGGCGCTCACTCCGCAACCATCCGGGCAAGCTGTTTGCTACCCTCCCGGTTCCAAGAGAGGGTGCCAAAATAGGACAAGAGGGCTCTCATCGGCCCCCGAGACGGGTCAACAGCGCTCCAAGACGGCCCAAGAGGCCCCAAAGAAGCTTTAAGAGCGCTCCAAGAGGACCCCTCAAGAGGACCCAAAAAGGCAAACATCAGTGATGTTCCTTTTGTTGTTGTATGTTGTTTCGCGTTCTCGCGTTACGGGCTTCTGACGCTCCAAGATGGCCCCAGAGGCCCCCAAGACCGCCCCAAGACTGCCAAAGAGGCCCCCGAGAGGTCCCCAAGACGGTTCATGAGGGTTCCAAAACGGCTTAAGAGGCGCCCAAGATCGCCCAAGAGGGCCCCAAAACGAACCCAAGAGGGGCCCAAGAGGGGAAACACACATCGACAATTCGAGCCTTCCGCCCCAAGAGGCCCCCAGGAGGCCCCAAGAGAGCCCAAGAGGCCCCCTAGAGGCCCCACGAGGCCCCCAAGAGGCTCAAAAGAGGCCCCAAGAGGCCCCCAACCGGCCCCCAAGAGGCTTCCAAAACTGCTTCCAAGAGGCCCCGAGAGGCCCCCACGATATCCAAACGAACTTCCAAGAGGCCTCTAACCCACAACCCAGGCACGGTGGCGGGATAGGCCGCAGGCCACCAGACGGTCTTAGACGCCCAAGACGGCTTCCAGACGGCCCAAGAGGCCCCCAAGATACCCAAGAGGTCTCCAAGAGGTCTCCCAAGGGAGCTCGAAGAGACCAACAAGCATTGATATTCCTTGGGTGTTTGAGCAATTTTGTCGTTTCCGCATGTTCTGCTTCCCGACGCTGCATGACGCCCCAAGGGGCCCCGAGGATCGCCCCAAGACGGCCCAATAGGCGTCAAAAGCGCCCCAGGAGGTCCCCACAGGCTGCTCGCAGCTCGTAGAGAACTGCCTCTGGGCACCTCCCTCGATGGGTCAATTGCAGGCGGTGCTATCCGGCGGGATAGCAGGGTCCCCCCCCCCCGATGGCGGGGGAGGGGGAGGAGGAGATGGGAGGCTCGAGGGGGGGAAGGGTGGGGGGGAGAGGGTCGAGGCTTCCTGCTGTGCACGGAGCAGCCGGCGGAGGCAGGAGCGGCGGCGCGCCCACAGGCAGCAGCCAGGCGGAAGCAGAAGTGAGGCGTCAGCATTTTGGGATCCACGGCTTCCAGAGTCTGCCACGTATGCACACACAGTGGGGGCGCGCATCAAAACCATATGTTTTTCGTCAGGGTCTCCTGAGTTTTTTCGCTCCTCGCGCTGCGCGGTGACTTCCCGCAGCCGTTGAAGAAGCTGCTGCGTTGAGGGTGCTCCAGGTTTCCCCTCGGGCGCACCTCGCGCACGGGTTCTCAGGGGTGGGTTTCTTGTGAGCATTTCGTGCGGCCGCGTCCACACTGCGCGGTACATCGACAAAATGTTGCACCATCTGGTGCCCGCAACATCAGACGTCGCTGTGCAATCGACGTTTCGTGCTCGCCCGCCCCTCCCCCCAATCTAAAATTGGCTACGGGCCGGGATCGCCGAAACAGCTCGGTGGTGCAACATTCTGTCGGGCGCCTGGGAAACTCGGAAGAGCTCATTCTCGCATGCCCCCCAATATTAGACTGTGGGGGGAGGGGGGGAGAAGGGATGAAGCATGCATGCGAAGAACACCGCAAAGTGGTGCATCATTTTGTCGATGCGCGGTATTTTGTGTGCAAGCACACGTATCCATAAGGGCTTCGCCCCCTGCCGCCGGCCCCCTCTCTTTATCATAATGGGATATATCAGAGTCGCGTCGGTGCGTCTCGGCGCTGCCTTGGCGAATCTGGGAACATCATGCGGGGGCGGATAGGAATCATCAGCCCAGATTGAGTGGCCTTCGGCCCATCCCGCCACCGTGTCTTGGTTGTGGGTCTGAGGCCTCTTGTATATGTGTTGGGGTGTCGTGGGGAGCCTCTCGGAGGCCTCTTGGAGGCGGTTTCGCCGCCTCTTGGGGGACTCTTGGGGTCTCTGTTCGGCCTCTTGGAGGCCTCTTGGGCGCGTCTTGGGCGCCTCTTGGGACCTCCTGGGGGCTCATCGGGGCTTCTCGGAACGCTTCTTGGGCCATCTTGGAGCCCTCTCGTGCCGTCTTGAGGCCCTCTTGGAGGCGTCTTGGGCTGTCTTGGGGCGGTCGTGGGAGCTTCCTGAGCCATCTTGGAGCGTCGGAAAGCCGAAAATGCGAGCACCCCAAACTCCTTCAAACATTTTTTTTTGTATAATCGACGATGTTGGCCACTTGGGGCTGTCTCGGGAGGCCGCTTGGAGCGCTCTTGGGGCCTTGTGGGGCCCTCTTGGGCCGTCTTGGGGCCACTGGGCGCCTTGGAGCACTCTTGGCCTCGGCAATACGAATACCGTGTGATTTGCATGGGTTCATGGCCACGTGGACGCGAATATCGAATACATTACAATGGTTTGTTGCCTCGGGGACGCAAGAATTAAGCACTTTGCAAGGGTATGTGGCTTCGGGGCGCGAGCATTGTGCATTGAACTAAGGATTCTGGCTTCGGGGACGCGACTATAAAGCAATCTGCAAGGCTTTGTGGCCTCGGGGACGCGAACATGGTGTAGTTTACCAGGGATTTGAGTTGTTGTTTCGGGGACGCAAGACTTGAGTAATTTACAAGGGTTTGTTGCTTCGGGGGCGCAAGATGCGCATAATGTGCGAAGGTTAATGGCTTCGGAAACGCGAATATTGTATAATTTACAGGGGGTGTTGCCTTGGGGGCGCAGCAATTTTATACTTTGCGATGGGTACTGGCCTCGGGGACGCGAAGACGATGTAATTTACTAGGGATCGTGGCCTCGGGGGCGCAACTGTGGCGCAATTTACAGAGATCGTGGCCCCAGAGGCGCGAATGTAGAATAATTTACAGGAGATCGTGGCCTCGGGGGCGCGAATATGGGGTAGTTTACCCAGGATCGTGGCTTCGGGGACGCGAACGTGGTGCAATTTGCAAGGGATCGTTGCCTCGGGGACGCGAACACAGTGTAATTTACGAGGGACTATTGCGTCGGGAGCGCGAGTCTCATGTATTATAGCGTGTCCCACGGCCCCGCAGGAATTCAGAGCACACGACTCGGGGGTGGTAACCGGTTCCTTTTCGGCTCCCCCCCTCGCGCGGACTTCAACAAATTACAGTAGGAAGCAGAAAGCAGGACTGTAGCATTGGAAACTGGAAACTAGAACTGGCGCAGGCAGCAGCAGACCTATTCCTCGCAGCCTGATGGCCCCACGAGGAAGCTGGCGGATTGACAGTTCAATGTTTTTTTTTTTGTGTGTGTGTGTGTGTGTGTGCGTTCCCCATGTTGCGTCCCCCATCCTGCGTCTGCTCCCCTCTCCCCTGCTGCTCCCCTCGCGACCTGCCCCCCCCTCCCGAGCGATGCTGTCGATCTCCCATGGGCGGATCCGGCACCTCCGCGCCGCGCGATCTCTGGGCCGGCCCGCGCGCGCCTCTCGCTCGACCTGCTCTGCGCCGCGCCGCTGCGCGCGTGGCCGCGACGCCAAAGTGTGTGTGTGTGTGGGAGGAGGAGGAGGAGGAGGAGGAGGAGGAGGAGGAGGAGGAGGAGGAGGAGGAGGAGGAGGAGGAGGAGGAGGTGTGTGTGTGCGCGCGCAGAGGCGTATCAGAAGATATCTGGAGCATCTGCCTCGAGCGCATCGTCTCCACACCGCCGCCAGTGCCCCCCCAACCCCCTTGTGCGAGCCGCCCCCCGGCCCCCCTCCTCTCCCGCACCCCGCCCTCCCCGCGAGAGGACTACGAGATCTCCGCGATGGTCGCCCGGCCTGGGGATCCGCCTGCCGCGGGGAGGCGGAGCCCTTCAGTCATCGGTGCGATCGCCATGGGTACGGAAAGAATGGCTACATTGACGCTGTGGTTCGCGCAGTTGCTGTGATGTGCACAGGCGCTGTGGTACTTAAGAACGATATGGTGCACCCAGGCACTGTGGTGTACACAGGCGCTGTTGCGGACGCGGCTGCTGCGGTGCACAGGGGCACTATGGTGTACACACTCGACGTGGTGCTTTGGTGCACGCGGCTGTTAGGGAATTCGAAGACCGACAAAATGTTTTGTTTCTTCTGCACAGGACTCGCTGTCGGTGTCGCCGCGGAAGTTGTGCGTTTGAGACAGAGGGCCGCCTGCCGCGTGGCTCAAGCTTGTTTGACTCAAGAACTTCAAGGGCTCAAGTCCGAAGTTCGAGCTGTCTTCGCCAGGCGCGCGGCCCCGCGGCCAACATCGTGAGTCCAAGCCCCATGACTACCACGGTCCTCCTGCCCTGCCTGCTCCTCGGCCTCGCGGAGGCTACCGCCTTCCCATCGTGCGATGCGACGACAACAGAACCCTTATTCGAAGAAGCGACGACTGAAGAGCTGGCGCTGGCGCCGGACATCCCCTTGGAACTCCAAGTTCAGGGCCAGAGCGGGCAAGTTCACTCTTGTGCCGAAGGGCTCGTCGGGGGCCTCTGTGGGCATCCGCGTGACGATAGACGCGCTGAGGGAGGTGGACGCAGATGGCAACGAAGTGGGTGCGTCTGGGGCTGTGAAGCATTCGATCAACACTTCTGCAAGCCAGGATTTCAAAGTGGGTGATATGTAGACCGTCCGCATCGACTCTGGAGCTTCTGCCGCCAAGGTGCCGTTTGATTCAACCATCTCGGAGATCGGACGAATCGGCGTCGACACCTACGTCATGGCCAGTCGGGAACGGTGGGGATGTCCAACGAGTCGTGGGACGTCAGCATCGGAGACTTGAAGTGGAATGTCCGCCTCTGGGACTGGACCTGGTGCGACGGCCCCAACTGCCGGAAGGGCCAGACCGAGCAGGTCGGCGCGTTCGTCGAGCTCGACATTACGGCGCAGAATTTGGGGGGTGGGAGCGCCAACCAGGGCAGCGGGAAGTCCGTGTCTCTGGGCAGCAACGCGACGCTCAAGCTGTCGACGCAGGTGCAGAAAGACTGCGCGTGGGAGCAGCTGCAGGCCGGGTTCCCTTCCATCAGTACCTAGGGCAGCCAGACCACCATCACCTTTCTTATCCTGGGCTTCGAGACCTCCTGCCTGTACGATCCCGTTCTGTCTGCCGCAGCGGAAGGGATGGGTGTCGACGTCGACTCCGACACGGACTCTCCCCCTCTCTTTGCCCACGTGTGCGCGGTACCGGATGTTGTCGTTCGTGCGGGCATTTCCCCACAATTTGAGTGTTTCAGTGGTTTATCGCCCGTGATGAAGGGTCACAGGTGCCACTGGTGTTCAATGGAGTGCTCGCTTGCGTGGTTGTTCATGGAGTTGGGGCTCTCGCGCGCTGCGGAGGGGGAAAACATTATCCCGGCAACGCAACCTAACAGCGATGCGTAGGAGCATATCTGGAAGCATTCCCCTTAAGATTCGGATGAGAATCCAGTTGTAGAATTCTGCTGTTCTCGCAGTCGCAGTCGCATTCGCGAAGACAGTCGCAGTGGCAATGGCAGTCGTAGTCACCGCCTCAGCCTCAGCCTGCCTCAGCCTCAGCCTGCCTCAGCCTCAGCCTCAGCCTCAGCCTGCCTCAGCCTCAGCCTCAGCCTGCTTCAGCCTCAGCCTCAGCCTGCCTTCTGCCTCGGCCTCAGCCTCAGCCTGCCTCAGCCTCAGCCTGCCTCAGCCTCAGCCTCAGCCTCAGCCTGCCTCAGCCTCAGCCTCAGCCTCAGCCTCAGCCTCAGCCTGCCTCAGCCTCAGCCTCAGCCTGCTTCAGCCTCAGCCTCAGTCTGCCTTCAGCCTCTCAGCCTCCTGCCTCAGCCTCAGCCTGCATCAGCCTCAGCCTCAGCCTCAGCCTGCCTCAGCATCAGCCTGCCTCAGCCTCAGCCTCAGCCTGCCTCAGCCTCAGCCTCAGCCTGCTTCAGCCTCAGCCTCAGTTTGCCTTCAGCCTCGGCCTCAGCCTCAGCCTGCCTCAGCCTCAGTTCGCCTCAGCCTCAGCCTGCCTCAGCCTCAGCTTCAGCCTGCCTCAGCCTCAGCCTCAGCCTCAGCCTCAGCCTGCTTCAGCCTCAGCCTCAGTCTGCCTTCAGCCTCGGCGTCAGCCTCAGCCTGCCTCAGCCTCAGCTTGCATCAGCCTCAGCCTCAGCCTCAGCCTGCCTCAGCATCAGCCTGCCTCAGCCTCAGCCTCAGCCTGCCTCAGCCTCAGCCTCAGCCTGTTTCAGCTTCAGCTTCGGCCTCAGCCTCAGCCTGCCTCTGCCCCAGCCTCAGCCTGCATCAGCCTGAGCCTCAGCCTCAGCCTGCCTCAGCATCAGCCTGCTTCCGCCTCAGCCTCAGCCTCAGCCTCAGCCTCAGCCTCAGCCTCAGCCTGCTTCAGCCTCAGCCTCAGTCTGCCTTCAGCCTCGGCCTCAACTTCAGCCTGCCTCAGCCTCAGCCTGCCTCAGCCTCAGCCTGCGTCGGCATTCAAAATGTGGCCCGCGAATGGAGTTTTGGGAATTTGAAAAACACGAAGTGGCCTGCAGTTGGCTCCGGGCATTCAAAATCATATCCAGGAATTGAGTTTTGGACCTTCGAAGACCACGAAGTGGCATACAGTTTGCTCCGGGCATTCAAACTGTGGCCCGGGAATGGAGTTTTGGGAACTCGAAGAGCACGAAGTGGCTTACAGTTGGCTCCGGGCATTCAAAATGTGGCCCGGGAATGGAGTTCTGGGAGCTCGAAGAACACGAAGTGGCCTACAGTTGGCTCCCGGCATTCAGAATGTGGCCCGGGAGTGGAGTTCTGGGACCTCGAAGACCACGAAGTGTGTAACTGTTTGTTTCAAACGACTTCCGCGGATTTTCCCCGGCACCCGTCCGGCATCTGCCCACCCCCCCCTGAGGAGTCAAGATGCTTTCTTTCGAGACCATTAGAAACCTAACAGTCTTCGTTGTTAGGTTAACAAAATAACCCCGGCAAAGCATTCTAACAGCGATGTGTAGGAGCATATCTGGAAGCATTCCCCTTAAGATTCGGATGAGAATCCAGTTGTAGAATTCTGCTGTTCTCGCAGTCGTAGTCGCATTCGCGATGACAGTCGCAGTGGCAACGGCAGTCGCAGTCACAGCCTCAGCCTCAGCCTGCCTCAGCCTCAGCCTCAGCCTGCCTCAGCCTCAGCCTGCCTCAGCCTCAGCCTCAGCCTGCTTCAGCCTCAGCCTCAGTCTGCCTTCAGCCTCGGCCTCAGCCTCAGCCTGCCTCAGCCTCAGCCTGCATCAGCCTCAGCCTCAGCCTCAGCCTGCCTCAGCCTCAGCCTGCCTCAGCCTCAGCCTCAGCCTGCCTCTGCCTCAGCCTCAGCCTGCTTCAGCCTCAGCCTCAGTCTGCCGTCAGCCTCGGCCTCAGCCTCAGCCTGCCTCAGCCTCAGCCTGCATCAGCCTCAGCCTCAGCCTCAGCCTCAGCCTGCCTCAGCCTCAGCCTGCCTCAGCCTCAGCCTCAGCCTGCTCAGCCTCAGCCTCAGCCTTCAGCCTCAGCCTCAGCCTCAGCCTCAGCCTCATCAGCCTCAGCCTCGCCTCAGCCTGCCTCAGCTTCAGCTTGCATCAGCCTCAGCCTCAGCTTCAGCCTGCCTCAGCCTCAGCCTGCCTCAGCATCAGCCTGCCTCAGCCTCAGCCTCAGCCTGCCTCAGCCTCAGCCTCAGCCTCAGGGTTAGCCTGCTTCAGCCAAAGCCTCAGCCTGCATCAGCCTCAGCCTCAGCTTCAGCCTGCATCAGCATCAGCCTGCCTCAGCCTCAGCCTGCCTCTGCCCCAGCCTCAGCCTGCTTCAGCCTCAGCCTCAGTCTGCCTTCAGCCTCGGCCTCAGCCTCAGCCTGCCTCAGCCTCAGCCTGCTTCAGCCTCAGCCTCAGCCTGTCTCAGCATTCAAAATGTGGCCCGGGAATACAATTCTGGGAACTCGAAGAACACGAAGTGGCCTACGGTTGGCTCCGGACATTCACAATCATGCCCAGGAATGGAGTTCTGGGAACTCGAAGACCACGAAGTGGCTTACAGTTGGCTCCGGGCATTCAAAATGTGGCCCGGGAATGGAGTTCCGGGAACTCGAAGAGCACGAAGTGGCCTACAGTTGGCTCCGGGCATCCAAAATGTGGCCCGGGAATGCAGTTCTGGCAAATCGAAGAGCACGAAGTGGCTTACAGTTGGCTCCGGGCATCCAAAATGTGGCCCGGGAATGGAGTTCTGGGAAGTCGAGGAGCACGAAGTGGCTTACAGTTGGTTCCGGTTATTCAAAATGTGGCCCGGGAATGGAGTTCTGGGAGGTCGAAGAGCACGAAGTGTGTGACTGTTGGCTTAAAACGAGCTCGGCTCTGTTCCCGGCCCTCCTCCCCGGCACCCGCCCAGACCCCCCTGTGGAGTCCAGATGTTTCTTTTGACACCACTAGAAACCTATCGGCAAAAGCTGTTAGGTGAAAAGCGCGCTTGTGGATGGCCTTGAATACACAAAAGAGGGGGGGGGTGCTCGCAGCTCGCAGAACCCCCCCTCCCCCCTTCAAAGGGGAGGTGAGATTTTCGATACCCCTCCCCTCCCCCTCTTAACGGGGGGGGGGGGTCCGACCTCCCCCCCCCCTCCGCGCCTTGAAAGGAGGAGGGGCGCCCGGACCCCCCCCGCCCCCCTCCCCACCTCGGCGCTGGAAAGGGGGGGGTTCGAACCCCCCCCCCTCCCCCCCTTTGCGCCGAACAGGGGGCTGGGGAGGGGGCCTCTCGGGTAGTGAGTAGAGAGTAGACTGTTTCGAGTAGCGATTGGTGAGTAGTGGGTATTTGATAGTGAGTAGTGCGCCGTGAGTCGTGAGTAGTGAGTAGTGAGTAGTGGGTAATGGGTAGTGGTAGTAGTGAGTAGTGCGTAGAGAGTAGTGACTAGTGAGTAGTGAGTAGCGAGTAGTGGGTAGTGAGTGGTGGGAAGGAAGTAGAGAGTAAGGAATTATGAGTCGTGGGTAGTGAGGAGTGAGTAGTGTGTAGAGAGTAGTGCGTAGTGAAGAATACGCAGGGAGTAGGGATGAGGGAGTGGACAGTAGCGAATAACGAGGAGTGAGTAGTGAGCAGTGAGTAGTGCGTGGTGAGTAGAGAGTAGTGAGTAGTGCGTGGTGAGTAGCGAGTAGCGGGTAGCGAGTATGGAGTAGCGAGCGGGGAGTAGCGAGTAGTAAGTAGTGAGTAGCGAGTAGGGCCTTGTGAGTAGTGAGTAATGAGGAGGGAGTTGTCAGTTGTGAGTCGTGAGTAGTGAGTAGGGAGTAGTGCGTATCGAGTAGGGAGTAGCGAGCAGTGAGTAGTGAGGCGTGACTAGTGAGTGGGGAGTAGTGAGTAGTGACTAGTGAGAAGCGAGAAGTGGGTATTGAGTAGTGGGTAGTGACTAGGAAATTGCGAGTAGAAATTGGTGAGTAGTGAGTTGTGAGTCGTGCGTAGTGAATATTGAGTGGCGACTTGCGACTAGTGGATAGTGATTGGGGAGTAGGGAGTAGGAAGTAGCGAGTAGTGCGTAGCGGGTAATGAATATTTCGTATTGGGTAGCGAGTAGCGGATAGTGAGTAGTGAGTTGTGGGCACTGCGTAGTGAGTAGTGAACTGTGAGTATTCAGTAGCAAGTAGTACATAGTGGTTAGTGGGTAGTGAGTAGTGCTTAGTGAGTAGTGAGTAATGGGCAGTGAGTAGTGTTTAGTGAGTAGTGAGTATCGAGTACTGGGTAGTACATTGTGAGTAGTGCGTTGGGAGTAGTGAGTAGGGAGTAGGAAGTAGTGAGCAGTGAGTAGGGGGGGCCTAGTGAGTAGTGAGTAGTGAGTAGTGACTAGTGCGTATCGGGTAGCGAGTAGGGCGTTGGGATTAGCGAGTAGTGAGTAGTGGGTACTGTGCAGGGAGTAGGGAGTAAGGAGTAGCGAGTAGTGGATAGTGAGTAGTGAGTTGTGGGCAGTGAGTAGTGAGTAGTGAAGTGTGAATAGTAAGTAGTGGATAGTGGTTAGTGGGTAGTGAGTAGTGATTTGTGATTAGTGACTAGTGGGTTGTGAGTTGTGTTTAGTGAGTAGTGAGTAAGGAATCGTGGG